CCTGCAATTCTTTCATAGCCGAGTTGCGTTCAAACTGATTACGTTGCAGCTCGCTTTTAATGTGTCCAGTTTGCAGTTCCTAAGGATGTAAGTTGATAAGAGTCTGCTGTCGAGGCAGAGCTCCTGTTACAAGGATAACTGCCGAACGTTGAACTGTTGCGCTATTTTTAGTTTGCTCCTGGAGTAAAGTTTTCGAGTGATGACGACCAAATGGTGATGCTGTAGAATATACAACGTATAAATCCAGTACACAATATTCGGTTTAGACCCCGTCTTTTTTCTATCGAGGTTATGCGAACAGTTACAGCCTTCCTCCAGTTGAAATATTTACACTCGGTAGAGAGTGCGATCTCTTTGCTGGAGGGGTGACTTAAAAGAAAGCGGTTTTTACCTGCTGGTGATTCGGACCATTTCGGTTTCTCCAGGGTTGACATCCAGCTCACTGTTCCTGCACCAAATCCTTACCACGTATAGGGCATTCAGGAGCAGATTCGCGCAACCATCATAAAATTTAAATCAAAATTAAACACGGAATTAAATATATTTATTACACACATATATCATTAAATTAATAAAAAATAATAAAAAAGAAAAACGTTAGCAAGGAATTAAAGCGAACGCCACAAGTAGTTAGAGGAAAGGAAAGTGTGCGAAATACCGGAGAGGATAATCAAATGCTATTCACTTACGCAATTACTTAAAGTTGACAGTTAAAAGTGGTTGATAATGAATTTTCATTTGATTTCCCTAAAGAGTTTTTCAACTGAAGTATAAAAGCAAATCATAGAAAAAATCATTCCCAAACTGATTGTATAACAGTAATGCACCAAGAGGGGTTGCCACGGCAAATACAAATGCATAACGCAACATTTTTCCTTCACTTTTGAGCGAATATAAGGGAAAATGCGCTAAGTAGTTGCAATAAAGTGCAATACTTGCACAAAAACCAAAAAAAAAAAAAAAATAAATGCAACGATCGAAAAGGCAAAAACAAACAAAACATCACAAATATGCACACTTAAACACAAGCACATAAATAGTTGTTTGACAATGGTGGTACACACCACTCAGCGGTAATGTCCTACTTGACAAACTGGAGGGTTGATCGCCGCTACTCGAAACACCCGGCGCTGGCATTTTCCGCCACTCACCCATTTCACGAATACGTTCTGGCTTGCCGAGCATTCGTTCCACGCGTTTTTATACCTCATCTCATTTGCCACCAATTTGTCGTTTAGATTTAATTTATTTAATAGTTGGTAAATCTCTTGTTGGTCTTTTTCGTATTCTCTCATTTTCGAATTGTATTTTAGTGCGAAAATCATAGTCCGCGCAGCGTCGACAAGGTGATAATGGCGCTGGTTGGGAAGAGGCTTGTTTCGTTGCTGATTTCGAATGAGAGGCGTAACTGTTGCGAAATTAATTTTTATTTATAGGAAAAATCTTATGGAAAACTGACATATTTTCTACGCTTATTTCATTTGTTAAATGGTCTGAAAAATTGTAAGCTGGAGTTTTTTGTATATTTGAAAGTAACAGCTGAGAGGGAAGCATACCATCATCAATTTATCGAAAGTAGATGTGTAGCACTTTATTTGTATTTTAGTTTGAAACAATAAATTTCTGTTATTTTTATGTACTTTATTTGGTTAATTCTTTCTATTTTGTTTATTTTATTTTATTTTAATTTATTTTATTTTATTTTATTTTATTTTTTATTTCTTAAATCAATTTACTTTTATGCTCTTATTTTTAACTTAATTTAGTTATATATTATTAAAAATTGTTTTATTTTATTTCATTTTATGTTATTTTATTTTTATTATTTTACTTTATTTTATTTTGCTTTTTTTATTTTACTTCATATTATTTAATTTTGTAATGCTTTATTTTTTTTTTTATTTTACTATGATATTATTTGATTTTGTTTTATTTTGTATTAGTTTATTTAAATTTTTTCATCTTTTTTTTTAAATTTAATTTAAATTTATAATACTTTATTTTTCTTTATTTTATTTTATTATAATATTATTTTATATTGGTTTATTTTAATTAATTTTATTTCATTTTGCTTTATGTTGTTTTACTAAATTTAATTTTATTTTCTTTTATTTCTTCTATTTTATTTAATTATATTTTAACTTTTACCTCATTTCATATCATTTTATTTTTATTTCATTTACTTTTTTTATTATACTTTATTTCATTTTATTTTATTCAATTGTATTTTATTTTTTATCTTATTTCATTTTATTTTCTTTCTCTTATTATTTCCTTTTTCTATTGTTTTATATTATATTATTTATTTTTTTTTTATATTTTATTTTATTTTATTTTATTTTATTTTATTTTATTTTGTTTTATTTTATTTTATTTCATTTCCTTTTATTTTATTTTATGTTGTTTATTGTTATTTTTTATTTCATTCTACTAATTATTGTAACATGCCTTGTTTTATTATTGATTTGCCATTGAGCCAACCAGATAAACTTAATTGAATCACAATTACCATCGCAAGAGTATAGAAATACATCCTTGAGAATTTAATACGGTTACAAACCACATAATTGCACGTACTTAGCATAGTATTGGTTATTATCTCAGTATATCTCATTAAGTAAACTAAATATGTGCGTTCGAGTAAATGACGTATGAATGTGGGAGTAGATTATATAGAATTTGCAATGTTCCTTTGTATTCAGAGCAAAGTAATTAATACCATCGAACGCATAGTCAAATCTGCATTGCTCAGATACACACATGCATACATAGGCGAGTATTGTCATGTTAATTAATCCACTCAAATAACGCCAACACATCCTCGAACATTAGCCAGTTATCTAGTATAACCATGTGCCACATTGTGACATACTGTCCAGTTACTCGTATGTCGCCTTGAAATTTACCTTCGATAATCTCCTGTTAATCCCCTACAATATGACACATAAACGATGTACGTACGTACATACATTTGTAGCAGTATGCATACATTTAGCCAACGGCACTCTGCTGGCCGACTGCACTCCGTCACAGACTTCTTATTGAGGTGTTCGCACGCAAAACCACTATCCCGGAATGAGGCTAATTAATGCCTTGCCTATATATACATACAAATACCATATATATACGTACAGATAATGTTACATAGTACCTTCTACTCCTCCCCATTTCATGTTTCTCATATGGATTTTCTGTAATCCATTTCATGTCTGCAATCAACGTTGGCCGGTCGTCATGCACTCATAACGAATTTATGGTTAAGTGGCAAGAGTTCTGGCGATGTACATACATTTTTCGATTCAGAATCACTCAGAATATGAAATCAAGGTTTATACCATCACCGGACAGGGAAGTTTTATCTTACGTGATTAGAACAACTCAATGATTAGCTCTTGGAATTACCGTACCAAACGAGGGCTTAAAATGGACCAAGCAACCACCTTGATGAGACTCATCGGATGTCAATACCGTCAACGCTTCTGCACCATATAGCAGGACGGGTATGATGCGGAAAGTGTAGAGTTTGATCGGATTCGACGGGAGAGAACTTTACCTTTCAATTGCCTACGCAGTCCAAAGTAGCACCTGTTGGCAAGAGTAATTTTACGCTGGACGTCATGACTGACATTATCATGGGTGCTTATGCTTGTCTTGCTAAACGAAATTATTTACGACCTAATCATGCACCTTATCAGGTAGTCACTGTCCTGTTTGAATAGTTGTACAGGTAAGACAATCGGTGGCAATCGATTTTCCAACCTTGTCATAGTCGGGTAATCGAACGTCTTTTCCGTCATCATCGATTGGAGTTTCGGATTCACCATCTTCGGGTGTTGACTTTTCATTCCCATTCGGCAAAGAATTTTCGATCAATAAGCTCTACACATCCGCTCATTTTGTCCGTTTTATTTTTTCGTCTTTAAATGCCTTTTGCTTCCCTCTTCAGCTCTCTGTATCTATCCCATCTCACACGTGTAGTCGTCGATCCCAAAGTAGCGGAGCAGGCAGTCTCTTTTCTCTCCACAGCAGTTCGATATCTTCATGTTACCTACTCTTTTTCTGGCACTGCTGACAATCAATTGTTTCCGTAGCGGGTGGTTGAGACTCCGTTCCATAGTTCCCTTATATCGATCGCTGATGAGAGTTCCCAGAACGCAGTTGTGCTGGTCGAATGGAAAGCCTTTCGGATGTCTGTTGTGATTGCAAGTAATCGACGTCGAACCAAAAAATCTTCATGCCCTAACTATAATCATAGGGCAGATCTTCATATTGAAGTGAGGTGAAAAACGCTTATTAAACGATCTTCTGCAATTAGCAAAGGGTAAAGAATCAATAGGATTTCTTCAGTTTTCGAAGACACTTGTAATGTTCTTGAAACTAGCAATACAACTATTGTAGCAGTACAGAGTCTGGGCCATATGTAAAGTATGGATGTGACTCCGTATATGCGAGACTCTTAGAGATAACCTATTCTACCTAACCTTACATAACTATCTGCTTTACACTATTCTTTTTTCTTCATTGACCGCAGGCCGTTACTATCCATCCGGAGCTCACTCATCGTTCCGTCAGCTCAGACTATAAATATGAGCCGACCAAAACCACTTTTCATGATCTAACACCTTGGGATAAATTTGAGCGCCTTCTACATACCTTTGTTGCATTGATCTTCATGTCGAGTTTGAGTAAGACCATAATGGAGTATGAAGTGGGAAATATTTGGATTGAGGATAAATGGGTGAACGAGTGAACGAATGAATGAAAGAATTTTCCCACAAAATATAAATGTTCGAGCAAATAGAGCTAAATTCCGTGGCTTATTTTTTAGAATTTACTAAGTGAAGTTTGCAACTTTAAAATATAAAGAATTCAGAATTAATAAATCAAACTTAAACTTTGTTCAACGCGGCCACAAGACTTAAAAAGGCTCAAATCACAAGTGAAACATTTTTTTAAATTGATTTTCGCTAAGCACAAGCGCCATCAGCTTCTTCGAGAGAATGAGCGGTCTCGGACCCGCCGCCTGTTGGCTCGCCCACAAACGTATCGAGTCGTGGTCGCGTATGGCCAAAGAGCGTGTGGGTGCCGTGCGTCGCGTAACCCTCGATCGAAATTCAGAAGATAATAATGGTGCGACGGGCTCTACGTCGTCCACAACACCTCCACCGCCAATGACGCCACCACCGTCCGCTTCGTCTGTTACATCGACGACCAGTGGCATTGGCAGTGGAGCGGGCAGCGTCAGCGATAGTTGTGATTTGCCAACGGACTCAGAGGTTTTCACACAAAACTTAACCTCATATGTAGGAACACTATACTAAATTATCTGTTTGCTTTTTTGTGCACGATTTGCAGGAAGTTAATGTCGTTAAGGAAACGCAACCCATACAACCGCCATCCACTTTGGGCAATGCATCGCACTTAATAAATGCGGACGTATTACGCGGTCCAGCCGAGGTCTTACACAGTCCGTTACATTTGCATCACCAGAGTCGTTCTTTTCCACCGCGTCTACAACGCACGCCATCCATTTCCAGTCAGTCGAGTATAGACAGCGCACCATCGCGACATTCGGTAAGGAGTAGGGCTCTGACATTTCCCTGTATGCATATGTAACCAATCACAAATTATTCTGTTTTATATTTTTCAAAAGACACACCGCGGCTCTTCGCCACAGATACGTACATTTGGACCAGATGGACGCAGTTCACTACCCACCGATCCCGGTTTCCCACATCATGTAAGTAGTATTCGTTCTCTGATCTCAATTATAACGGCAACTAAATGTGTGTCTTGCAGTTGGCTCGCTCACCAAGTCCAATGCGCACCATTTCGCTGGATGCCCGTTGCGGTAGCCCCGCATCGACTGATGTCAGTGACTTGCGTACGCCCAGTCCATCGCAGAGCAGTCTCGCCTCGTTGGCCGGCGGTTCAGCTGTTTCCAACATGAGCATGAATTCAACTAAAGTCGGACGCTGCCTTTCGCCACTGCTCATACCGCCACGTACACCGGCAGGTATTGATCCCACCATTGGACCAGCCTCGCCATTAGGCGCCTTACAACCAGATTTGTATCGGGTGCCAGATGGTCCTATATATTTGACGGCACCGGAATCTAGTCCAGCTTTGGGACGCTTACATTTACGCGTTAAATATGACTATCATCTCTTCGATTTAACGGTACACCTGATTGAAGGTGCGTCTACTTTTTGTGTCACAAATTGTTTGGAGGCCCACAATAGGTTTGAATTTTACTTTCAGCTCACAATCTATGCCCGATTGAGGATGGTGGATTTCGTGATCCATATGTGCGGCTAATGCTTGAGCCTGGGGTTGATAATCGAAAACGTCAGACACATATACATCGTGGTGAGTCAAATCCTTACTTCGATCAACATTTCAAATTTCCGGTTTCACGAGATCAACTGCAAGGCAAGGAACTGAAATTACAAGTTTTAGACTACGATCGATATTCGCATAATGATGTTATCGGTGAGGTTTGCATCTCGGTTGACGAGTTGGATCTTTCGAAATCAGTAGAGGTAAAGGAATACTAAGGCTTATATATAGATATATATATAAAGCATACTAAACTAATTTTCTCTATGCTTCCTACAGATCTGGGGTGACTTATTACGAGTTAAGAAACCACAAGAAAATCGTCCTGAGCTTTTATGTTCACTGAATTACTTGCCTCAGGCTGAGCGCCTCACCGTTGTCATTATGAAAGCAAAGAACTTGGACACAGTGCAAGAACCTTATGTGAAGGTGATTTCTTAATCAGCTCTAACGAGAGCTTCAATCTCTAATTTTATGTGTACCTTACAGATTTATCTCATTCAAAATGGCAAACGCGTGAAGAAGAAGAAGACCAGTATTAGCAAATCTGACGATCCCGTGAATCCCATTTGGAATGAGGCATTCACATTTAACTTGCAATCTGTATACCTGCACAACGCTGCAATTGAGGTAAGTTACCCAAATTATGATTGTTCATACGATGCCCACGCCCAATCAAGAAGACAACTTCAATGTATGTGGCATTCGCCCTCAGTAATACGCATGAGACGTTCTCCAAGACTGCTCCATCCAGCGGCAAAGAAATAATAAGCGGGTTTTAAATTTGTTCATCGGGAATGGACCAAGAACCACCTGCTGGTAAAAGAGATTCTCCGTTGGACGACATGTTTTTGGGTCGTTCACTGCCCGACTATTTCACGTTCCCCTAGGCTTTCTCGATGTACGTCCAGAAGTTGAGCTGCACTTCTAACATTCCCTATCTTCTTTGTGCTTGTTATTACTACTGCCTCCGGCTATTGTTCATATTGGTTCCCGGTGAGTCCTTTGTATTCTTGTTTTAAAAGTTGCTCCAATCGTACACGGATTATTTGTTCCAGTATCTTACAAAGCGTGTCGAAAATTCGTTCTTCGAAAATCAATTCTGCAATATATCCATTCAACTTTACTTCCAAGCTTTCGGACAGACACCTCCTCAAAACAGGGGGTAAAGAGGTATGAAAAAGGATTCGTTTCATGATTAACAGAAATTTTTAGGGCCTTATTGGGGGTTTCTTGTAGACCCAAACCTCATTCTTGCTTGCATTACCTCCTCTTCTGTGACAAATGGTGTGTATATTGAAACAGACAAATTTGCTCATAATGCTTACTCGTTAGTTTTTGAAAGAAAAAGAGATTCCACGACGTTTTTCAATAGGGTGGGGCAGGTAAAGCACCACCTTTACTACTTTTGTTTCTTTTCCTTTGCCACTTTTTAACCATCGACCCACGAACTCTCGTCGGCGGTGTTGCAGAACTCTTTGAAGCAGAGGAATTTGCTCTTTTTAATTGCTTAGCAGATGTTGTCGTCGTACTCTTTCGGCTCCGGTCTTCTCTGATTGATTCGTCTCGATTTTTTGCATTTTGCTTTTAGCATCTCGATTTCTCTAAACCTTCTGTATACAGATTTTCTGTAGGCACTCCCTATTTTCCTTGCACATAGCGGCGTCACAGGCTTGAGCCGTAGTTTGGTATCTTCTACATTTCCCACTCCATACTCTAGTCTAAGGCTTCTTGTAAGGTAGATGAGTATTGAGAACAGCAGGCATCGGCTAACTTAGGCCAAAGTAGGCTGTTGAACCCTATAACAGCTTTTCCATTCCCTCTCTTAAGAAATTGAATAGGCTCTTTACTGAGTTTCTGCCGTATCGTCTTTGAAGCGACTTTAATATGGCATAATCTACTTTTGCATTGTAGCAGAACTGGTGGGTTGCCCCATTGTACTCATCATTCATGTGACATCTTCTACATGCCGGTCTATGAGTTAATGTCCTATCACTATCCTTTGAAATTTCCTCCCTTTTCACTCAGCCAGCCGAGAATCAGTGTCACTCGGCTGTACTCCAGAATATTAAAGTCGATGAAATCCTTCACAGTTCTTGCAGAGTTTCTAGCGCTGTTCAGAGTTCATTTACATGGATACAAAATGGTTATAGAACACCTTTTCATGTTGCCCAAAGTGTCTATAAAATCAACGTAGTACTGCTGCGTATGGGTTCTTATCTCATGGTGCATTACGACGATTATAGTCTTATATGGAATTTCCAGCGTGGTAAGGTTTCAAGAATTTTCCCGCGGAAAGCTTCCACGATAGTCGGGTCTTTACACCGCAACAACCAGGATTTTTATTGGGTCAAGGACTGTCTAAACTATTTTTGCAGCTTCAACAATAACAACTATCAAATGAAAGCATATTCTAACGGAAAGTAGAAACTAATTCATATACATATATTTATTTTTTCTTATTGCAGATTTACGTAGTGGGCTCTGGTGGCGAGGCCACTGAGATCGGCAGTTGCGGTCTGGGACCACAAGAGATCGGTACCGGCTGTCAGCATTGGCATGATATGATAAATAATGCACGTAAGCCGACAGCAATGTGGCATTATATACGCTAAGGTTTTTATTAATATTTAAAAAAAAGTGTTAATATATAATATACATATACATATATACATATATACATATGTGAAACTAATACCACAAATACGAGTACATAGGTTTATATGTATTTTCAAGTACTAAAATTATTCATAAATAAGTAGTTAAGTATAAAACAAAACTAATATATACTATATATACTAAACACAACACGGCTGAATATACAGATCCTTCGACAGAGTCCTTTCAATTGAATTTCGGTGATGAGGATAATACTTTCTTGAGCAAATGGGAATTTCTTCGTTATCAAACTAAAATCTTTCCAAAGTGGCTTTACAAAATTTTCAAATCTAAATTTTTAAATACATAAAAATATGTAAATTTATAGGTGATAAGTAAACAAAAAATCAAGATCAAAATTTACTGCTCTTTTAAGGCGTAAACTCCTAGGAGTATATTATTGGAAGAACAAATTAATGCGGATCGTTCCTTTTTGTTCAAAGAAATGTTTTCTATTAAATTAATATTTAGGTGAGAAATACATACTTCAAAGCGCCCACTTTTTCACATTCCCTCTGGTAATTTTCCATCTGTAAAAAATTAATACCCTGTGTCCTCGATTCGATAGATTTTTTCGATTTCTTCAAAAGGCCCGAACCAGTGGCCCCCAAATCGTTTTGCACCCTCCAAAAATGCCAGTAGTCAGAAACCAGTAGTCAATAGTACTGAAGAGTACAGCGATTGAGGTAAGACCTCTCATTTCTGCATTACTCGGTAGTATTTAACCGTTACAGTCACGGTGAGCGGTCACGAGTAAGATTGAAAAATCACCTTTTCATATCTTTCGGTTGTTTTTGGCCGCTTCTCGCATTAGTTGTAGCCAATAATTAGTTTCGCCAGGTTGTAGCAATTCATAGTACACCGAATCCATCTGGTGCCACCCGGATGCTCTTTGTTTTCGACGCTAAAATCACCACTTTTGAAGATGCAAAACAACTGTCTATATGACTTATCGCTCGGCGGAGATTCCCCATAAGCTTCCACAAGCTTTCGTTGAGCTTCAGCTGCATTTTTCATCCAATTTAAATAGAAAAACAAAACTTTACGAAAATGCCGTTTTTTTTAACACAAATCGAGATATTTTCGAGGAGGCAAAACCAATATTGTTGTCCGAAATAGACGCTGATGCACTAATTATTGTTGACCGATGTGAAAGTTTTCCAATGAAATAGATAAGCGCTTTCAAAAATCGGCCACAACCAGCAGGTGGAGTCATCATTTGAGAACGGAATAATTTTTCTTTGTTGTATGGCATCATTTTTATATTTCATATTCATTACTAACTCATAAACGTATTAATTTTTATTTCATAGAAAAGTATAACAATTCTGGTCATTATTATTTTTTTTTTTCAACTAAAGAATTTCTGTTGCTGCTCGTAAGCAGGCAAGGTAGATTTGTATGGCATAGCTCTCATGAGAACGAAAAGCTCATAAACGATTATTTTGAGTAGTGGAATTTCTATGTCCACCTTGTGGATTGTGGAATGAAAACAAGGGAATGATACTGAGAGGTGTCATTAACAAATACACTTTTCTAGACGAGTCTTATTTTGCCAAGTTCCGGAAATTGTTCATTTAAAAAGCTCACTTAACGGGAGTATTGAAATTTGTGTTGTCGTTAAGTTGGCCTAACAGTGCCGTCTATCGATCTTGAGATCTGTCGTTCAGTTTCTTTGTAGTGTTCTATGTTATTAGTCCATTACAAGTTGGTGTAGCATTTTTTTCAATGGAAAGAAATATCAAACGCAATTATGTAAGCGATTTCGTGTGTCGAATCGATATTACAGAAGGCTTCTGATAAATTTACTTTTCAAAAACCACATATAAATTCGTCGAAAATGCCAATATTTGTGTATAAAGAACTCACGGATTTTGCACTACGAAAATACACCAACATAAGTTCTTCATTGCATTATGATATACTCGGGCTGAAGAATCCAACAAAGGTTAACGAGCATTCACCGTAATGATCTGATAAGGCTTTGAACGATTATTTTTCTCACAAAACTCCAATCACCCTTTCGAGACAACTGTTTTTATACTGTTACAAGACCGGGTGGAAGGCAGAATAATTTTTGGTGGGAAGAGTTTGGTTTATTTGCTCTATTTCAGTTACATGGTAATTTTTTTTTTATTTTTAATTTTATTAAATAATAAAAATGCCATGAGAAAGTTTAAAACATTTAATTAAATTTCTCAATAAAGCAAATAAATATAAATATAAAGAAACAGCTGATTTGAATGCTACCAAGTAACGGAAGAAAACTATCAAGCTAGCCACACTGCTACTTTGTTACTCGGTAAAGCGATAATCTGTTAATTTTACAAAAACAAAATACACGTACAAAACTAACAAATAACGATTAACACATTAACAAAGCCGGTGAGAATACCCCTTTTAGATATTCATATTGTTTGTAAATGTAAAGACCACTCATAGGCGTTTTCTTACAGACCAATTTATTAGAGAGAATTCGGAGAATTCTCCTGGTCATTCATTCTAACAAAGTGATATCAGTCAACCGAATTCCTAATCAAATTAGGAAGGCTTTCGTGTTCAAGGCTTATTGCCGTGCAATATTTCTTAGCGAAGCAGAAGACTTCGACTAGTTTCAGCATAAAGGTCTATTACACAAAATTTATAAAACTTTGCCCATATCAATATGCAAAGTATTTAAGTTATAACTGTTTAAGAGACGGTTTGCCGTAAATCAATCGGAATTTTTCACTGAAGAGTTTCCAGTTAAAGCTGGTATTCCTCAAGGTAGTGTTTTTGGGTCTAAATTATTCATTATATGTACACCCCGCAGACATTTCACTAAACCGGAAAGTACAAACATCCACTACACCGAAGTAAATGTCATCAATTATAAAGCATATTTAGAATACAGATACATTCGTAAGGTAGACATACATAAAGACCTTGTTATCCTACTGGTTAAGGATTACCACATGAAACTGAGAAATCAAACCAAGCCATTAGCTGACGATTTATGCAGTTCATGCTGAAACTCGCAATAGCAGCGAAGAGTTATGGAAATCTTTTTATATGTAATTTTAAAATATTTTTCGTAATAATTTCGGAGGGTGTATTTAACCCCCAAAGCCCCACTGCATCCGTGACTGATAGAAAACATAAAAGAGAATTCGTGGCGAGAATGAGCGAGTTAATGCGTTCAAAAAGGGTTTGATGATTGGATTACTCGCTAACAAATATTATATAATTGCACCTTGATGGAGCCTATGTTGAAAGCGATATAAGAAATTTTAAAGAACAATAAATATTTTCAACAATTTCTGGTACTTTCGCAGAGGTTTTATATACCAATCGAATCGCTATTTAAAACTTACTTGGTCTCTCAATATTTTCTTTTAAAAAAATTTAAAAAAATAAAATTATATTAAAATTGTTCGGTTTTGAAATCTTTTATTAATAATTTAACACTTTTTGATATTTTTTCTATCGTATATTTAATTATATATAATTTAAGAATTTAAGAAAGAACACAATTCAATTATAGTATAAAGTATTTCTGTCTAAATTAGGGATATTTTTGATTAAATGTTCTTTTAATTTTTTTTTTTTTTTTTTTTGAAAATAACCAGAAATTACAAGGTGCTGATCCGGGGACGTATTTCTTCGATCCCATTTCCATAAAATTACACGTTATTTCAGCTGTGTGGGATGGCGCCGCAGATCCTCTTTCATACTGTTTTCCAACAAGTTTTTAAAACTTTTGGTTACCATTCTTCGGTGTACCATGAAATAAACTAAAAACATTAATTTTGCTGTTGATTTTTGTTGTCTAGATTTCACGGGTGGGTTTGCACCTGTTGGGCTCAATACAGTGGACCGCTGCTTGGTTTCTGGTTCGAACATATAGAACCAAGATTCGTTACCAGTAAGGATTTCACTAAAGTTGCTAGACTGCCCATTTTTGAATTTGTTTAGGAAAACTTGAGCAAAATGCGCTGGAGCCTCTTTTTAGGTCTCACTCAAAATTCGTGGTACCCCACGAGCAGATTTCTTCTTGTATCCTAGATGATTACTTAATATGCGCGATACTGCCATGGCATGCAAGCCCAATTCATTAGCAATAATTTCTTGTGTCAAACGTGGGTCCTAGTCAATTTAAGACTTCACAACAACAATGACCTCATCAGTAAAAAATTTTGTCGACCTTCTCGCGGCTCGTTCTCTACGGAAAAATATGGAGTCTGTAATCTTTGGAATCACTTAGAAATATTCTTTAAAGACGGTGCAATCGTTCCATATGCAATTTGGCATTCACTGAATATTTGTATTGGCTGTAAATTACGCCGAAACCCGAAGAGAAGGACATGGCGAATTTTTGTTTGTGTTGTTGGTGGAGTTTCGTCCGACCTATCCTCAGCTATCTTGCGTTTTCTCGCCTGCATTTTAGCTATTCGTTCTAAAATTTATAAGAAAGACTAATAAAGTGTTTGCAAAGGATTTGGTATTTTTAGATTTAACAAAAACAAATTAAAAGTCACCAATTCACCGAACTTTTATTAAGCCCCTCGTGTGTATTTAAACATTTTCTTTTTATTGCTGAAAAATTTAAAATTAGTAGTAAAAAGCTGGCTAGTTGCACGAAAAAACTTAAGGGTTTATACTGCCTTAAAGTATGCAATACATACATACTTATATGCCACACTCGAATATTCTACGCTCTCTTACTCATTCCACACTCATTCCACGCAAGCAGCCAACACAATTAACTGACTCCTTACATGTTTTCTGCTTTATTGTATATCTAAGAAAATGATTGATGGCAAATTATGAAAAATTATGAATAAATTATATGCAAAGGACTTACATACATATGTACGTATACATATACACAAAGTAGGGGCGCGGCAGACCATTCTTAAGAAAACCCAGTTGAATGGGTGCTCATGTTGACATACTCGTTGACATAACTGCACTTATT